CCCCCAAATGCTCATTCCCCTTCTGTGCCGCAGCTACAACCCAGACCTGGACTCGGACCCGTTTGGCGAAGAGGGCAGCCTGTGGTCCTTCAACTACTTTTTCTACAACAAGCGGCTGAAGCGGATCGTCTTCTTCACCTGCCGCTCCATCAGGTCAGAGGTGGGCCTGGCCGGGGGCCCTGGCTGAGCGGGGCTGCTCCTCCCTTTCCTCGTCCTGACGGGTGCTTTCTCTTCCCAGTGGCTCCATGTACCCCCACCTGGAGGCGGGCCAGGAGCTGGACATGGACCTGAGCGAGGAGGAGGTGGAGGAGGCGGTGGAGGCCTGCGACCAGGAAGGAAGCAGCATGGAGGGGGGCCGGTGAGCAGCTCAGCGCCGCTGGGGGGTACAGGGGGGGCCCGATCCCCAGCCTGGCTCTCCTCGGACCAGGACCACCGGACCAGAGGGTGGGGCTCTGAGGGCCTCTTCTGGCTTCTGGTGCCATGGTGAAGTGCGCGGACTCTCATCTGGGAGAAACGGGTTTGATCCCCCACTCCTCCTCCACATGCAGCTGCTGGTGTGACCTTGGGTCAGTGACAGGTTCTCTCAGAGCTGTTCCCTCAAGGGCAGTTTCTGTCAAGAGCTCTCTCGGCTCCGCCTACCTCACAGGAGGGTGCCTGTGGTGGGGAGGGGGAGGGTCAGGAGTTTGTCAGCCGCTCTGAGACTCCTTCGGGTTGTGAAGGGCCATGGGGTATCAGTCCAATCTCTTCTCCTCTTCTTCGCTGCTTCTTCTGTCCCCAGGAAGCCAGTGATCTGCATGTGACGGCCCAGGACCGCCTGTCCCAAGGATGGTGCCTCCGCTGGAGTCCCCCTGCCACCACCCCAGCGTCCTCCTGCCCCGGCTGCCCACCCGGCCACCCTGCGGATGCTGCGTGATCAGTCGGTGCCTCGGGTGGCCCTCTGGCCGTCCCGTCTCCTCCCTCTGCTGCAGCGGAAACCCTCCCTCCGGAGCAGGGCAGGCCCCTCCTCAAGCACTTCCTGCTCCAGCCCGTGACTGAGGAACTCTGTGCGTGGCCCCCCCCATCAGTGGCGGGGAGGGCCCAGGGCCCCAGGCCTCCCCTCCCCCCAGAGCTGCCTCTCCTGGGCCAGGTCGGCTCTGGGAATCGTCCGTCTGTTTCCAGTGGTCCGTTGGGCGGCTCCGAGCGCCTTTTTACATTTCCTGTGGCTGCAACAGACACTGAAGGTTGTTGGATGAAAAGTGGAAGCTGGACTAATGGGGGGGGGTCTCTACGTCTGCCCCCCCCCAACTTACCCGAGACTTCTTGAGCCGAGGGTGGCCTGCGGAGAGCTGGGCTTGGGTGTGTGCCAGCGACGCTTTGCTTCCCTGAAGGCCTGGAGAGTTTATTTTTGTATTCTCGCCCCCTGAGCCTGCAGCCCCGAGGCCGGCCGGCCTTCCCTCCCTCCCCCCCTGCTCAGCCGGCCTTCCCATTTGCCTCCCTTCTGTGGCCCGGGGGAGCGTGGCAGAGCCTTCGTGCCCCTTTGCCAAGGGGCAGCTCTGTGCCTCCTCCCTCCCTCCCTCCCTCCCTCCCTCCTGTGGTGTGCAAATGGCCCCTTTCTCTTCCCTGCTCTGGGCCCAGCTCCTCTGCTGGGTGCTGCTCATACCTCCCAAGGAGTGTGAGTGGGGGGAAGGGAAGCCTTATTTCTCCCTCTGGCCTGGGGAGAGGGGAGGGGTCGCTTGCCCAGCCACAGCAGGCCTGTGGGGCAGGGCCCCCTTCTTGAGCTGCCCCCCCCCCCAGAAGCAACTCCGTGCTTCCCGGTGCTTCTTGCTCAGGCATGGTCCCCTGTCACTCAGGCTTCTGCTGCTGCCAGGCCTGTCTGGCAGAACACTCCTCGTGGCCTGGGGGTGGGGGGAGAGAGGGACCAGTCGCTTCTCTCTCCTCCCCTGCTTGAGCAGTTGGCCTGCCTGGAAAGGGGCAGCTGGGCCCAAAGCGCCCCCCCCCCCGGAACAGCCGGCGTTTGGCCTCCCTCCCCCTGCCCTGTGCCTCCCCCTCCCCCCCTTTCAGGCAGCGCAGGACTTGGGCTCTTTGCCCCCCCCCCCACACGCTGTGCTCATTTGCTTTCTCTTGTGTTAACGATGTTGCCTAGCAGTTTACTGTTGCAGCTATAAAAATTTTCTGTGGTTTCCAGTGTGTCTGCTTGCACGCTGTGTGAGTGCTGTCTGTGGGAGCAGCACAGCTGCCTGACCACCCCCCCTGGACTTTGTTTGAACCCATGTTCGGGGAGGCCTACAGCAGCTGCCGCCCAGGAGCATCGGGGCGGGGGGGGGTTGCTGTGGCTCAGCGGCAGAGCCTCTGCTTGGCATGCAGAAGGCCCCAGGCTCAATCCCCAGCCCCTGCAGTCAAAAGGGAGCAGGCAGGAGGGGATGGGAAAGACCTTTCAGGCAGGAGGGGAGTGGACAGTGGACAGTGCTGACTGTGAAGGGCCCAGGGGGGTCTGATTCAGCAGAAGGCGGCGTCATGTGTTCACGAGGCAGGTGGCAGAGGCAGCTGCCGCACTGCATACAGCCATGGAAGCGCTACTGCCAGTCCCTGCCCCCTTTGAGTGGGGCTGAGGCAGTGGAGCAACCTCCATGGAGCCCCACAGCACTTTTGAGGTGTCCTTCCAGGGCCCTCCCTCCTGGAGGCCCTTCACTTTGATGAAGAAAGGTTAAAACGCTTAGGGCTCTTTAGCTGGGAGAAACAACGACTGAGGGGTGACATGATTTTATAAGATTATGCATGGGAAAGAGCAGGTAGAGAAAGAGGTACTTTTCTCCCTTTCTCACAATACAAGAACTCGTGGGCACTCCATGAAATTGCTGAGCGGTCGGGTTAGAACGGATAAAAGGAAGTACTTCTTCACCCAAAGAGTGATTAACACTTGGAATTCACTGCCACAGGAAGTGGTGGCGGCTACAAGCATGGACGGCTTCAAAAGGGAATTAGATAAGCATATGGAGCAGAGGTCCATCAGTGGCTATTAGCCACAAGGTATAGATAGGGACTCTGGGGCAAGGGATGCTCTGTCTTCTTGGTGCTGGGGGGGGCAGCAGTGGGAGGGCGTCTGGTGTCCTGGCCCCACTGCTGGACCTCCTGATGGCACCCGGTATTTTTGGCCACTGTGTGACAGTGTCGGACTGGATGGGGCACTGGCCTGATCCAACATGGGCTTCTCTCATGTTCTTATACTGCCTCCCCCAATATGTGAATCCATGCAGGGGGGGGATGGGGCAGGTGGCTTTCTTGGGGCACCTGCCCCCTCTCTGGCTCAGACTGGTCCCCAAATATGGAAGAGCAGGAGGCCCGGCCAGGAGGGGGGTGTTGCCCTTTGGCCGACTTGTGGGTGGCCTGTTCTGGGTGTCTGTGGGATGGTGATGCAGGTGGTCAGTCTTCCCAAGGCGGCGTGTGGAGTGGACGAGGAAGTTTTCAGGAACTGCAGCAGAGGAGATCCTTCCTGGGCCCAGTTTCTCCCATTGGGCTGCAGCCTGCCGGTGGTCCGGAGCGCTGCCTACAGAAAGACGCGGAGGACTGCCTGAGCGCTCTGGGGAGAGAACAGAGACAGCTGCCTTCCCTTCAGAGGTCACAGAGTGTTAGAGTCGGAAGGGACCTTGCAGGTCATCTAGTCCAACCCCCCACACTGCAGGAGCAGAGCCGAAAGATAATAGCCCTACCTCATACCTGAAAGATGGCTGTCCAGCCTCC